TCAGCTTGGCTTGCTTACCTGGCACTCTACCCCTTGAACCATGCTTCTAGCCCTGCCACAAGCTACAGGTTGACCATCCACCTCCCCACCCCAGTCATGGGTCTTGAACTCAGGGCCTGGGCGCTGTCCCTCAGCTCTTCAGCTCCAGGCGAGTGCTCTACCACTTGAGCCACAGCGCCACTTCCGGTTTTCTGGTGGTTGATTGGAGATTGGAGTCTCATGACCTTTCCTGCCCGGGCTGGCTTTGAACCGCGATCCTCAGATCTCAGCCTCCTGAGTGGCTGGGATGACAGGCGTGAGCCACTTGGCTCCTGGTGTGGCCATTCCTGTGTGCATCCGTCAGACTCAGCTTGGGGGAAATGAAGTCCATGATTTTTGTTCTCCCCACACCCACCCTCATGCCCACGTCATCTCAACCTCACTTCCTGGCCACGGAGGTGCCTGCTACCATCCCAGCCGGACCATCCAACAGGGTTCCTATGCAGCTGAGAGAAGGCGGGGGGAGCACTCGAGAATGCTGTGATCTGGCCACACAGAGGACAGAGGGGAGCAGGCCCACCCACCTCACAAGGCGGCCAAGGATGGTAGCACCTGCCTTTAGTCCATTCCTCACACAGGAATGGTGGCCTGGGCCAGGGCTACTCTCGCCTTACTGGCATTTCCTCTTCCCCACCTGCCCAGAATTAGCAACGGAGGCTTTGGGCCGGACCCCAACTTACACAGGACCTGGGGGTGCTGGGCGGGGGAGGGGGGCGAGGCTGATTTCAGCCCCAAATCAGAGATTCACTTGTCCTTTTTGTCTTGAAAGTCCTGGGGCTGGGAAGGTGGCTCAGTGGTAGAGCGCTTGCCTAGCATGCATGAGGCCCTGGGTTCGATTCCTCAGCACCACAGACACAGAAAAAGCCAGAAGTGGTGCTGTGGCTCAAGTGGTAGAGCGCTCGCCTTGAGCAAAAGAAGCTCAGGGACAGCGCCCAGGCCCTGAGTTCAAGCCCCAGGACTGGCCAAAAAAAAATTTAAAGAAAGTAAATTAATATATAAACAAGTAAAGAATAAAGTCCTGGTGATAAGATGCGGGCGATGGGGTTGGAGCAGGGAAGGGTTGACGGCTGGCTGAGGCTGAAGTTCAAGGTAAAGAAGCAGCCGGTGGGGTTGAGATCTGGGGTCACGTTAATCATTACACTCGTCCCGGGCTCCGGGTCAGCTTGACCATCAGGGATAGCCACGGGCCGGGCTTGTGTCTGTCAGTCCAGAGGCTGCCTTTTCTCATTCTTCCTTCCTTCCTTTCCATCCTTTTTAACCTACCCTTCTTCTTCCTTTTTCTTCCTTCCTTCCTTCGTTCCTTCGTTCCTTCCTTCCTTCCTTCCTTCCTTCCCTCTCCCTCTTTCTTTCCTTCCATCCTTCTTTGCTTCCTTCTTTCCTTCCTTCTTTCCTTTTCTTCCTTCTTCCTTTCCAGCTTTCTTTCCTTCCTTCCTCTCCTTTCCTCCCTTCTTTCTTTTCTTTCCTTTCTTTCTTTCTTACTTCTCTCCTTCTTTGTTTCCTTTTTTCTTTTTTCCCTTCCTTTTCTTCCTTCTTCCTTCATTCCATCTTTCCTTCCTTCCCTTCCTTCCTTCTTTTTTCCTTCCCTCCTTCTTTGCTTCCTTCTTTCTTTCCTTTCCTCCTTCCTCCCTTTTCTTCCTCCCTTCCATTTTCCTTCCTTCTTTTCTTCCTTCTTTCCCTTCTTCCTTTCTTTCCATTCTTATTTCCTTCCTACTCCCTCTTTATTTCCTTCCCTCCTTTCTTTCCTTTTCTTCCTTCCCTTTCCTTCTTTCCTTTTCTTCCTTCTTCCTTCCTTCTTCCCATCTTTCTTTCTTTCCTTCCTCTCCTTTCCTCCCTTTTTTCTTTCTTTCCTTCCTTCCTTTCTTCCCTCCTTTCTTTTTTCCTTCCTTTTCTTCTTTCCTTCTTCTTTCCTTCCTTCTTCCCATCTTTCCTTCATTCCCTCCTTTCTCTCTTTTTTCCTTCCCTCCTTCTTTCTTTCCTTTCCTCCTTCCTCCCTTTCCTTCCTTCCTTCCTTCCTTCCTTCCTTCCTTCCTTCCTTCCTTCCTTCCTTCCTTCCTCTCTTTCTCCTCTCCCAGTTCTGGGAGCTGGGGCGCGAGTCACCAAGTGTGTTGGTATCTGTCTCTTCTGCCCATGCAGTGTAGCTCGGGATTCTCTGTAAGTCGGTAAGATGGTGGCGGGTTCCGACTCTGGGGCTAATGTAAGGAATCCCCGCAAGTCCAGTCCCTTGAAACTCCATGGCTTGATTGTCTAGACTTCGAGAGGTCAGAAGTGGCCAAAAGGTGGGCAGCCATTCCTCCCGGGGGCTCTGGGGACTCCCCTGGGGTCACCTTCCCCAGCCCCTGACCTGCCCACCTTGGTTGGCCAATGGGCCAAAGATTGCTCGAACCCCTTCTTGCTCTCAGAGTTTCCTGTTCCCCGATCCTTACCAGTCACCATGGCCAAATCCCTTCACCCTGAAAAGTAGCATTTCTTAGGTGCTGGGCTTGAACTCAGAGCCCGGGCATTTGTGCTCAAGGCTGGTGCTCTGCTACTTTGAGCCACAGCTCCACTTGGAGCTTTTTGCTGGCTCGTTGGAGATCAGAGTCTCACAGACTTCTCTGCCCGGGCTGGCTTTGAACCACGATCCTCAGACCTCAGCCTCCTGAGAGAGGGTCTCCCAATGTAAGCCCTGGTACTCACACCCAAACTGGGGATCATCAGCTTTCAAGGTGAAAGAAAGTTAATATCTCTGTGATAACTGTTCATGGAACAAAGGTGAAACCATATCAAAGCTGAGTATATCAACTAGGACTTGAACTTGGCACCTTGTACCCTTGTTTATTTAGCTTTTTCTCCCAAGGCTTGGCACTCTGCCACTTTGAGCCACAGCCCCACTTCCAGTTTTCTGGTGGTTCATTGGAGAGAAGAGTCTCACGGACTTTCTTGCCCAAGGCTGGCCTCCAACTGCGATCCTCAGATCTCAGCCTCCTGAGGAGCGAGGATGACAGGCTCATTTCTGTCTTCTATAGGGAGTTTTCCCAGCCTCTAACCAGCGGGGAGGGGGCTTATAGGAAGTTGGTTAAGAGGTGATGGGATTTCTGGCCTCTCTACCACCTCCAACGTCGCCTGACCTAGGCTCGTGTCTGCCTCCTGTAGTCCAGGACGATGTCGGGGGAGGTTCCTGCGAATATCAACATCAAGGAGCCTCGATGGGATCAAAGCACCTTCGTGGGACGAGCCAATCATTTCTTCACTGTGACCGACCCCAGGAATGTCCTCCTAACGGATGAGCAGCTGGAGAACGCCAGGAGAATCGTCCATGACTACAGGTGACACTTAGGCGCCCGGCCTTGGTTTCCTGCACAAATCTTCCCTCTTTTATAGCCGTGTGTGTGTGTGTGTGTGTGTGTGTGTGTATGCGTGCCAGTATTAGGACTTGAACTCAGGGCATTGTGCTCTGGCTTAGCTTTTTCTCTTTCCTTTTCTTTTCTCTTCTTGTGCTCGTCCTGGGCTTGAACTCAGGGCCTGAGTGCCATCCCTGGGCTTCTTTGTGCTCAAGGCTAGTGCTCTACCACTTGAGCCACAGAGCTACTTCCAGCTTTTTTTCTGAGTAGTTTATTGGAGATAAGAGTCTCACGGACTTTCTTGCCTGGGCTGGCCTTGAATCCTGATCCTCAGATCTCAGCCTCCTGAGTAGCAAGGATGACAGGCGTGAGCCACCAGTGCCCGGCTTAAGTGATTTTTGGAGGGAGTTTTTGGTCCTTTGTGGTTTAAACTGTTTACTGACAGGGCTGGGGTTGTGGCTCAGTGGTAATGTACTAGTTTGTCCCAGGTCCTGGGTTTGATCCATAGCACCATGAATGAATGAAGGAATGAATGAATGATCCTGTGTCCCTCCATCCAGGCTTAATTTCTTTCTGAAAATCTGGCAGCTCCTGCTTCTAGAGTACTGGCCACACACTTGGAATGAAACCTTGCCGTTGTTGTTTTCTCGTTGTTATTCTTAGGCAAGGGGTTATTCCTCCGGGGCTCACAGAAAACGAGCTATGGAGAGCCAAGTATGTTTACGACTCGGCTTTTCACCCGGACACGGGCGAGAAGATGATCCTGATCGGACGGATGTCGGCTCAGGTTCCGATGAACATGACCATCACCGGCTGCATGATGACTTTTTACCGGTGAGCTGGGGAAAATCCAGCATTACTTCAACGCTCAGAGTCTGGCTTGTTTGTTGGGAGGGGGACAGGTCCACGATGATTTTCTTGCACCGATTGGCGCTTTTTGCTGTCTGTGCGGGGCTGAGGATGGCCGTGGGGGAATGGATGGCCGGGATTGAATGATTCCAACCCGTCGCGCTGGCCCCGCACGGTCAGGCACGCCTGGAATCTCAGCCATTCCTGAGGCAGAGGTGGAGGGGGAGAAATGTAAAATTAAAAATAAAAACTGGTGGCTGGCCGTTCCAGGACCACGCCGGCCGTGCTCTTCTGGCAGTGGGTCAACCAGTCCTTCAACGCCGTGGTTAACTACACCAACCGCAGCGGGGACGCGCCCCTGAGCGTCAGGTAAGAGCCCGAGCGCTTGTGAGCCACGCCCCCCGCTCTGGCCACGCCCCCTCGCCGGCCACGCCCCTGCCTTCCTCTCATTGGTCACGCCTCTTGTCAGGCCCACCAATAGCTGAGCGCACCCTCCGCCTGTCCTGCCCCCCTCGCCGACCACGCCCCACACCAGCCTTACCCTTATTGGCCCTGCCTCTTTGGACCTGCCTATAGCTGACCACGCCCCCTGCCTGTCCTGTTCCTCACAGACCACGCCCTATTCCACCACCCTCCCCCTTGCTGACCACGCCCCTCGCTGGGCCCACCTATCACCAGGCACACCCCACACACACAGACTACATCCTCGTTGGCCACGCCCCTCGCTGGGCCCACCTATCACCGGGCACACCCCACACACAGGCTACATCCTCGTTGGCCACGCCCCTTGCTGGGCCCACCTATCACCGGACACACACACCCCCACACACTGGTTACATCCTCGTTGGCCACGCCCCCTCGCTGGCCCCACCCCTTCCCCGGCCCCGCCCCACTCCTGGGGTTGAATGAATGGAGGCGCTGGTCTGTTGGCTCACCTCTCAGGAGGCTGAGATCTGAGAAAACAAGTTTCAAAGTCAGCCCGGGCAGGAAAGCGCCTGAGTCTCTGGTCTCCAACTGACCAGCAAAATGCCGGAAGTGGTACTGTGGTTCAAGGGGTAGAGCGCCAGGCTTGAGCACAACAAGCTGGAGGTCCTGAGTTCCAGGTCCATTCCTGGCACCATTCAAAACCAAACAAACAAATCAGCTTGTGTACCTTGTTTAAAGTCCTAAGTGCCCCTCTTCCTCCCTCTGAATCAAGGGAATTTGTTTGCTCCCTGACTTCTTGGGTAGGATCTGTGCTGTTAGGGCTGTGGGCAGGGCTGGATCCAGTCCCTGGTCACCGATAGGTTGAGCTTTGTGTGGCCTGCTTATAGGCTCATCTCAGCTGAGGTCATGGGGGGCTGGTGCTGACCCTGTTACCTGCCTAGGCTGACATATTTGCCCCCCCCAATAAAAACAGAAAATTCAGACATGCTATAGAGATTATTAGCTCAACAAAAAAAACGTTAACATAAGCTTTGTAGAAGACTTAAAAGCATGTCGGGCGCTGGTGTCATCCTAGCTACACAGGAAGCCTGAGAACTCGGGATGGTGGGGGTTCGAAACCAGCCTGGGAAGCAAAATCCCACCAGACTCTTATCTCCAACAGACTGCCAAAAAGCCAGACATGGAGCTCTGGCCCAAGTGGTAGAGGGCTAGCCTCGAGCAGAGAAAGCCTCAGCCTGCCCCAGCCGGCCTCAAACTAGCATCCTCTGATTTAGGCCTCCTGAGGAGTTAGGATGGCAGGCGTGAATAGCTGACCCCTATTTCTTTCATCCCTGCCTCCTGCCTTCCTTCTGGCTTGTCGTCTGTCCCATGGCTGCCTGACACACAGCGCTGATTACCCGGTGTCTTTTCTCTTCACAGTGAATTGGGAACAGCCTATGTCTCTGCCACCTCAGGTGCCGTGGTGACAGCTCTGGGACTAAATGCATTAACCAAGGTACTGGGCTGTAATCTCCTGAGCTGGCCCCGCCCTGCCTGCCTCTAAGCTGTAGTCTCCTGCACATTCCTGTCTTGCGGCCTGCTGCTCCTGAGAGATTGGCACCAACCGGATGTGAGAGGCTCCCACCTCTGCATTTGATGCTGAATTCCCTTCCAGCCTGCTTTCAACAGCTCCCACCTGTCATCCCAGCTACTCAGGAGGCTGAGAGCTGAGGACTGAGGTTCAAGGCCAGCCTGGGCAGGAAAATCCATGAGACTCTTATTTCCAGTGAACCACCAGAAAACTGGTAGTGGTGCTGTGGCTCAAAGTGATAGAGCGCTCGCCTTGAGCTGAAGAACTCAGGGATAGCGCCCAGGCCCTGAGTTCAAGCCCTGGACACACACACACACATACACACACACACAAAACGCTTACAGGCAAACACTCCTGTGGGCAGTTTACCTCTGATGAAGTGATCTTCAGCCTCTATCTTTTCCTGGTGTTTTTTTCCTCTTTGGTCACAGATTAGGAGTCGAACTTGGTACCTGATGCTCTTGCGCATTGGCTAGGGTCCTACTAACTCACGGAGCCACGCCTCTAGTTCCTAGCTGTGTGCTTTTAACCAATCACACGGAGCCTCGCTTCCCAATTCCTAGCTATGTGCTTTTAACCAATCACACAGAGCCGTCAAGATGCCGAGGGGAAAACATCAGAAAAGCCACTGGGCCGCACGGTTTTAGTTTTAGTTTTTGCTTTTGTTCTTTGTATGTCTGTCCTAGGGCTTGAACTCAGGGACCTGGATGCTGTCTCTGAGCTTTTCTTCACACCAGGTTGGAGCTCTACCACTTGAGCCACAGCTCCACTTCTAGCTTTTTTTTTGGGGGGGGGGGTTGGGGGTTCCACTGGAGAGAAAAGTCTCATAGGATACTCTCTCCAGTCTGGGTTCATGCATGGATCCTCCGATCTTCAGCCTCCTGAGTAGCTGGGATGACAGGCGGGAGCCACCGACACCCGGCTCTAGAGCATTTCTACATAGATACCTCGAAGTATGTCTCTCCAGTGAACTGCACGCATGCGCTGACGCTCTCGGCTTTCTCTCTGCAGCACGTGTCATCCCTCGTGGGGCGTTTTGTGCCCTTTGCTGCCGTGGCTGCTGCGAACTGCATCAATATCCCACTAATGAGGCAGAGGTGAGCCGTGCACACACACCCAGGCTTCACCCCAGAGCATTCTGGGATCATGGACCATGTTCACATGAAAGCTGCTGCAATCCAGGACTAGGATTGGGTGTGGTTGGAGCCATGAAGGCGGTAAGCTCAGCCAGTGTGGAATAGAAATAGAACACGTAGAGAATGAAGAAGACGATCCGAGCTACTCAGGAAGCTGCGATCTGAGGATGGAGGATCTCAACCTGCCCGGGCAGAAAAATGTCTGTGAGACTTTTACCTCCAATAAACTACTCAGATAAAGCTGGAAGTGGTGCTAACAAGCCAAGAGGCTGAACGCTCTCTCTCTCTCTCATACTGAGGCTTGAACTCAGGGCCTAGGCACTGTCCCTCAGCTCTTTTGCTCAAGGTGAGCGCTCTACCACTTGAGCCACAGCTCCACTTCTGGTTTGCTGGTGGTTCACGGGAGATCAGAGTCTCATGGACTTTTCCTGCCCAGACTGGTCTTGAACCACGATCCTCAGATCTCAGCCTCCTGAGTAGCCAGGATAACAGCGGGGAGGCCAGCTTGACTTCTCAATTACCGACATGTTGTGTCTATTTTCTGATTTCGAAGGCTGCTCCGATTTGTACATCAGCATAGAACTAACTTGGCTTTCAGTCAGCGTATCCATCCTTCAGGTCATGGCATTGTTAGAAGAGATTCTCCTTCACTGTGTGTGTGTGTGTCTGGAGATGTCTCTCTGTGTCTGTGTGTCGGTACTGGGACTTGAACTCAGGGCCTTGCTCTGTTCCTTCGCCTTCTTGCTCAAGGCTGGCATGCTACCACTTGAACCCCAACTCCACTTACAGCATGTTGGCGGTTCATTGGAGATGAGGGCTCTGCAGTCTTTTCTGGCGAGGCTGGCTTTGAACTTCAGTCCTCAGATCCCAGCTTCCTGGGTGGCTCTTTCTAAAAGGACACTCGAGTTCTTTTCCTTTCGTGTCTCTTGCAGCATTAAACTTGGTGATCGTGTGTAGACCCAGAGCTGGTCCTGCCCATCCGGGACACTTGGGTGGGCATGGTGCTGCTGGGGGAGGGGCTTGCTCACTGCCAGGTAGATTGGAGCTGTTCTTCTTCTCTCCAGGGAACTCAAAGTGGGCATTCCCATCACGGATGAGCGTGGCAACCGCCTGGGCGAGTCTGCCAACGCTGCCCAGCAAGCCATCACGCAAGTTGTGGTCTCCAGGATCCTCATGGCCGCCCCGGGCATGGGTGAGTGGACGTGGACGGCTAAGATCAAATTTTAGAGGTTAGGATACAATGACAGCCCAAATCATTCATTCCTTTCTGGAGGAGACACCAGGAGAGATTTTTAAAAAGTAAATGAAAAATACAAAAACTCAGGGACAGCACCTTGGCAGAAGTCTGGAGAACGGGATCCATTTTGACTTAACTGCAAATGCATTTACTACTTGATGGGTTTCATGGAACAGATTCATGAAGCTCCCAGAGATGGTGCAGCGTGCTTATGCACGTGCCAATCCATGCATTTATTTACTGTGGTTTTTGGTGGGTGTGTGACAGTACGGGAGCTAGAACTCGGGCATTCTACTACGCTCACTGTTGCATTTTTGTTTGTTTGTTTTGCTCGTCCTGGGCCTTGAACACTGGGCCCGGGGTGCTGTCCCTGAGCTCTTCGTGTTCAGGTCTAGCACCCTACCACTCGAGCTACAGCACCATTTTCAGTTTTTTCTGGGATTAATTGGAGATTAGACTCGTAGAGACTTTCCTTTCTCAGGCTGGCTTTGAACCACGATCCCCAGATCTCAGCCTCCTGAGTAGCTAGGATGACAGGTGTGAGCCACCGGTGCCGGGCTACTTTCTGGCTTTTTCTTGGTCAATTGGGGATAAGAGTTTCACAGACTTTCATGCCCAGGCTGGCTTCGAACCTCGATCCTCAGATCTCAGCCTCCTGAATAGCTACAATGATAGGCAGGAGTTACTAGTGTCTAGTACAAATGGATCCATTTAAACTGAGTAATCCAAGGAATCGCTACTTTCCATTGTCCCAATGTAAGAAATAGAGCCCCAAAGTGACATAAATCTAACTTCTTGGGGGAGGTAAGTTCCAAGTAGACTTGAACTAAAGACTTTCTTGACTTTCTCTTACTTCCAGCCATCCCTCCATTCATCATGAACACTCTAGAAAAGAAGGCTTTTCTGAAGGTAAGCCTAGCTCTGTGCTCCTTTCTTTAATCCTGTCCTGCAATTAAAAAAAAAAAAAGTAAAGAATTCAAGCTGGGCACTGGTGGCTCACGCCTGTCATCCCAGCTACTCTGGAGGCTGAGATCTGAGGATCAACGTTTGAAGCCAGCCTGGGCAGGAAAGTCTATATGACTTTATCTCCCATGAATCAGCAAAAAGCCAGAAGTGGCGCTGTGGCTCAGGTGGTAGGGCGCTCACTTTGAGCTGAAGAGCTGAGGGACAGCGCCCAGGCCCAGAGTTCAAGCCCCAGGATCAATGACAACAACAACAAAAGGTTGTGATCAGGGTTTTCAGTGACTTGGAAAACCCTTGTAAGATCGGTCCCCATGTCTGCCTCTTTCCCTGTGCATCTCAGATGCACATGAGCCCCACGTAATAATAAGGAGACAGACGCGAAGCTTAACGGTTGGGCCAGCAGTGAAGGCTGGCAGCCATGCCCCAGGGCCACTACCCCAGGGCCCCTGTTTGGTGGGCCCTGTGTCCCAATCGTGGCCTGGAATTCCACCATTTCTCTTAAGAAAATTCACATTCTCTCCGTCCATGCCGATCGCTAAGACTGAACGTGGTTCTCTGAGTCCATTCAGTTGGCCGGGCTGCCATGTTTTCTAGCCACGGACTAACATGCAACAGAAGACAGAAGTGTTTGGAGGTTTCAGGCTGTGGCAGATGGAAGTTTCTGGCATTTTCTCACCCTCCAGGGCCCTCTGTATAGCCAGGCTGCTCCGGGCTCTTTCCTGTATCTGATGAGAAACGATCGCTTTTCTCCACACCCTCATCTTAACTTACAGGTCTGAGCTTTGTCACGGGACCCTGCAGTTGCAATCTGGAAGGCTTTCTTCCTGACTCTCCCGCAGATGCCCGCTGCCTGCTTTACCCCCACACACCCCTCCAGGACGGGTCCGTGCCCCTTGCTAGCTACTGGAGGAAGTTTGGTGGTAGTTCTAGACCTTCGGTTTCACTGCAGTGTTGCTTTGAAAAAGATTAAGTACTCCTGAGCTAAGTACTCCAGACACACCTTCCCAAGTGCAAGTGCATTTAAATATTGCATTCGCCTATACACAGGTCACCTTTGGTGGAAGTCCCATCGATCAGACTCAAAGGATCGGGAGATCATTTTCTCCTGATTTCTCTGGCGTACGCATGCCCAGGCAGGTGGTGAGCATCGGCCTGGGTGCCCACCGTACCAGCCATGTGTGTGCAAGGTTGAACTGACCCAGGCTTTTCCCTGGCAAATGACCCAACTCCTCTGCAAACAGGAGATGAACTGCTCATTTTCAGCTCTTTGCCAACACTCGTGCTCTGGGAGTAACTCGTCTCCTGAGCCGTGCTGGCAAAAGGCCTCAGCTGTGGGCAAGGGACTCATGGAAAGTTCTGGAACTCAACCCCCCCCCCCAAAAAAAAAAAAAGTTGGCTGCCTAAAAATCATGGTGTTCCTATGAATCTCCTGGTAGTTGCCTCTTTGGGCTACTGTGGGGATTTTCACTAGCCCAGGGCTGGTGGCTCACATCGGTCATCTTAGTGATTTAGGAGGCTGAGATCGGAGGCTCGAGGTTCGAGGCCAGCCCAGACAGGAAAGTCCTCGAGACCGGTGTGAGCGTGGAGCACTTCATTTGCTCATTCACAGGCGGCGTTTGTTCGGGAAGCCTGTGTCAAGTGCCTGCTGCGTATCAAACAGGAAGGCAGGAACTAGAAATTGGGCTTGGGCCCAACTCTCAAGGATTGGTGGGAGAAAAGACCCAGAATCAGTGGTTGTCATGGTGATGGCCCGAGCCACAAGAAGCACAAAGCAACCGTCTTACCCAGTTGGCAGAGATGGGCAGAGACGACCAGAAAACCAGCCAAGGGACACACAGAAGCTTACAGGATGGGCAGGAAACTGATTGTACTCTATGTACTCTAAATGTAAAACTACATTCATAAAGCTACTGCTTAAAAATAGATGTACCCTAAATGTAGAACTCTCTACGGTTATAAAGCTACTACATAAAAAAAAGAATACTGAGCCACGTGGAGGTTTTGGGGTTCTTGGGTTCTTTCAGTCTGAGACTGGGATTCAAATTTGGTATCTGATGTTTTCACCCATTAGCTGAAGCTCTACCCACCTGAGCCATGCCTCCAAGCCCCAGGAGATTTTTTTTTAATTTGGTCAGCCCTGGGGCTTGAACTCAGGACCTGAGCGCTCTCCCTGAGCTCTTTTGTTCAAGGCTAGGGCTCTACCACTTTGCGCCACAGCTCCACTTCTGGTTTTTGAGTGGTTCAATGGAGGTAACAGTCTCACGGGGACTTTTCTATCTGAGCTGGCTTCAAACCACGATCCTCAGATCTCAGCCTCCTGAGTAGCTAGGATGACTAGATCTCTTCTATGGAACATCAAATGCACAACCCAGACAGCCAAGAAAAATGGATAAAATTAAGACTTGGTGAAGATGTTCAAATTCTGTCTCCCTCCCCGCCCCAGACAAAACCAAACAAAGTATACAGGTATTAAAAAGACAGGAGACAGAGACAGATGGGGAGGGGTATTTGGCAAAGCCCATCCTTCCGATGAGAATTTAAATCCTGAATAAGTTCAACACCCACATCAACAGAACAACCCAGCACAAAAGCAAGCAAGAGATGATACACCAAATACATACGGCCTCTCAAAAGGAGCAAACGCTATGGCGCTGTGTATTTGAAGAAAGTCAGACTCAAACCCCAGGAGCCCAACCAAGAATAGCTATCGTGATGGGCTGATGGGGCTTAGGGAACAACTGGTGCTCTGGGCGCCTCCTCGTGGACATGCCCGGTACTGCACCCCCCACACCACCACCACCACCACCAGGTACAGGATCCTACAAAATGGGAGCCTAGACCACTGGTGGCAATTGACCTGTAGAATGGTTCTTCATAACTCAGGAATGCTTACACCAGCCATGTTTTTTTAAAATTTAAGATAAAGGACTATTGATCCTCTTCAACAGCGTGCATGAATCTTAGGATGATTTCCAAGTGCTTGCAAATATAAAATCCTGTTTGCTGTGAGTGCATCCATAGGGACAGAAGATAGATCAGAGGTGGCCGGGCTGGCAGATGGACAGGAAAGAGAATAGCAAAAGGGCACAAGGAATGAGAGGAAGAAAAACGTTTGAAGTGATGAGAGGCAATGCAAGAGTTATGTCTCAGCCAGGCGCCATTGGCTCACGCCTGTCATCCTAGCTACTCAGGAAGCTGAGATCTGAGGAGCACAGTTCAAAGCCAGCCCGGGCAGGAAAGTCTGTGAGACTCTGATCTCCAATGAACCAGCAGAAAACCTGAAGTGGTGCTGTGGCTCAAGTGGTAGAGTGCTCGCCTGGAGCTGAAGAGCTGCGGGACAGCGCCCAGGCCCAGAGTTCAAGCCCCACAACCGACCAAAAAAAAAGTTATGTCGTACACACTCAATGTGTGTTGTTGAGCATATTAATATTAATAGAACCATAAGAGAAAAAAACGACACTGGAGAAAATGATGTATCACCTTAACTTTGAGCTTTTTATTATCTTTTTGAGTATATCTTATATATTCTTTTGGGCGGGGGGCGGTTGTGGGGCTTGAACTCTGGGCCTGGGTGCTGTCCCTCAACTCTTCAGCTCAAGGCGAGCGCTCTACCATTGAGCCACAGCGCCACTCCCAGTTTTCTGGTGGTTTATTGGAGATCAGAGTCTCACAGACTTTCCTGCCCGGGCTGGCTTTGAACTGCAGTCCTCAGATCTCAGCTTCCTGAGTAGCCAGGATGACAGGCGTGAGCCACCAGCACCTGGCTTTCTTATATATTTTTATATGTCATTGTTATATGTATATCTTTTTGTGTGTGTGTGCGCACCAGTCCTAGGGCTTGAACTCGGGGCCCTAAGCTTTTTTTTTTTTAATGTTTGCTCAAGGTTAGCGCCCTTGAGCCAGAGCTCCACTTCTGGCTTTTTGATGGTTCATCAGAGATAAGAATCTTATGGACTTTCGAAACCTCAGCTGGCTTCCAATCACGATCCTCAGGTCTCAGCCTCCTGAGTAGCTGGGGTTACAGGTGTGAGCCACTGGTGCCTGGTTATATGTATATATTCTTTAACTTGTATTGTGCTCTGTTATGGATGGTTGTTAGCTTTGGTTTGCCTGAAGTTTATTGGGATTGTCTTCCACACAGTTCTGTGAGCCCTGGCTCTCTAGGTGAAGACTAGACATGCTACTCACTTGCTTAGTCACAGACGACGTTTTGAAAAACGGAGTATGTTAAGCAGGACGGGGCTGGGGGGTTGTGGGGTTGGAATCCTCTGGCCTTCTGGATGTTACAAGGAGAGCTTCTGCTGGTCCCTTTTGGGGCCTCATTCACCCAGGCACAGGGTTTACCTCAACGCTTACTAAGTCTTTTGCTGTGTTCCAACCTAGATTTCTCATGTCTGGGAGGGCCTGGGGTGAGAATCACAGTCGCATACTGATGACCCAGTCGTCTGGACCAATGAGAGTCTGTCGCTGGGCTGATGCAGGCAGCTGGTCTATGTGAATATGTGAATCCTGTCATTAAGTGATCTGTGATGATACTTAATTCTTTCCATCTTTTGGGGGTTATGGAGCCCCCCAGATCCCTCCAGTGTGGCTCAGTGTCCTCTTCCTCTTGATGGTCCTTTTGTCCAGAGGTGCGTTGCTGGGGACTGGGGTACGCCTGCTGGTCCCAACCTTTGTCTTGGTAACAGCTTGGGTTCACAATGTGGCTGCAGCCGTTTCCGTGGTCGTGGTTAGATAACCCTGAGTCTCGTTGCTCTTTTATCGTGTGTGTTTTACTGCCACTCCTTAAAAAAAGGAAGGAAAACTAAAACTCTAACAGCATTTTGCCTTCCCAAGAAAACCCAACTTAACCCCTGCCATTAAGAACAACAACAAAAAAAAGTGTTGGGTGCCGGTGGCTCATGCCTGTAATCCCAGCCACGAACATCTGAGGATGGCTGTTCAAAACCCAGCCTGGCAAGGGAAGCCCAGGAGACGTCCGTATCTCCAATGGCCAGCAAAAACCAAAGTGAGAAGTAGTGCCGTGGTTCAAGTGGTGGAGCGCCAGCTTGAAGCAAAAATAACAAAAGCAATTAGCCAAAAGAGAATGCCGTGCCAGAAATATTCTTACGTGGACTTGTGCCAAATAAAACCATAAGCTACCCGAGGGGGTGGAGAATGTGAAGCCAGGCGGGAGGAAGGCCTCTTCTGGCTTCCTGCCATGGTTTTTCTGCCTCGCCAGCCAGGAGTTAGGTTCTAACTAAAATTGAAAGGTGCCTTTTCCTGTCACGGACCCCCGCTGTGAGTGGAGTCTCAACCAACAGTTGCGCCTCCAATCGCCATCCTCCGATTTTCAGCCTCCCCAGTTGCTTGGATTGCAGGCGGGAGCTACAAACGCACCCTTACAGGCCGGAATGATATGATTTCTCTACCTTCTGTGCAAGGATCAAGCTGCACGCCGATTCTGCTAGGTGGGGAGGAGGCGGGTGCAGGCTACTGCATCTTGGCATGTGTGTTCATCTGCAGATGGCCGACGGGACTAACTTGCAGTGTGACCTGGGATTTTATTCAACGCCTGCACCTGGGTTTTGTCGTGGGGGAGTGCTTCCTCCGATGAAGGGGGGGCTCTTTAAGGGGAGGCCCCCCAATTCTGGAGGGGTTCACCTGCGTCCCTCTCTCTCCACAGCGGTTCCCATGGATGAGCGCACCCATTCAAGTTGGGTTGGTTGGCTTCTGGTGAGTGGAAACTGCCTTGGCTAAAATTAATGATGCGTCATTGTGCGGCTCTCTGGGGGTCGCAGTGTATCGTGTTTCCTGACCACATCGGGACAGTTAGCAGGATGATCATTTTTAAGATCATTCGTTTCTTACCTGTTTGATCTATTTATTTGTCTAGTGCTAATGCTGAGACTTGAACTCAGAACCTGGGTTTTGCAGGAGGCTGAGATCTGAGGACGATGTTTGAACATCAGCACAGGCAGAGGAAGTCCATGAACCAGAAAAAAAAAAAAAAAAGCTGGAAGTGAGCTGGGTGCTGGTGGCGCACGCCTGTCATCCTAGCTGCTCAGGAGGCTGAGATCTGAGGATCACGGTTCAAGGCCAGCCCAGGCAGGAAAGTCCATGAGACTCTCATCTCCAATAAACCACTCAAAAAAGAAAAAAAGCCAGAAGTGGTGCTGTGGCTCAAGTGGTAGAGTGCGAACCTTGAGCAAAAGAAGCTCAGGGATAGCGCCCAAGCCCTGAGTTCAACTTCTAGGACTTGCACCAAAAAAGAGAGAAAGAAAGAATGGCGGTGGAGTTGTGGCTCAAATGGTAGAGCTCCAGCCCCCAGTAAGAAAGCCAGATGTGAGTGAGAGACTCTGAGTTCAAGCCCCAGGACCAGCATCAAAGACAAACGGGGTCTGGAGGGTTGTCACAAACTGAAAAAAAAAAAAAAGTCAGTCCGCAAAGCCACCCACCCGGAATGCTAATTCTTATTTTATATTTTCAGCTTGGTGTTTGCCACACCCCTGTGCTGTGCCCTCTTCCCCCAAAAAAGGTGGGTGCCCATTTTCTTCCAAACAGCAAACATGTCACCCTAAGAAAGGACTGGAGACACAGGGGCCATGGCCTGTTTCCCTGGCCAGAAGTTGGACCTCAAAAGAGGTAGCAAAGAGCCTGGGGTACACTTTCAATCTTCATCTTCTTACCCAGCTGCTTCCTACCTGGTTTGGTTTGTTATTTAGTGCCAGTCCTGCGGGTTCAAACTCATAGCCTGGGTACTGTCCCTGTCATTTCCTCTGCTCAAGGCCACAGCTCCACTTCCAGCTTTTTGGTAGTTTATTAGAGATTCGAAGAGTCTCACGGGCTTTCCTGCCCAGGCTGGCTTTGAACGTTGATCTACAGATCTCAGCCTCCTGAGTAGCTAGGATAACCAGTGTGAGCCATCGGTGCCTGGCATTTTATTATCATTA